CGGCTGAGGCGAGCTGGTCTGGGAAGCTCAGTCCTCACCTCCTTCTACAGGTGTGCAGTGGAGAGCACACCACGTGTGTGTGTGTGCGTGTGTGTGTGTGCATGGACAGGTGCAGTCATGTTAAAAAAAAAATAACCACATGGCACATGGCAATTATTTTCAAAATGGCAGTTTGTTGTTTGACAAGTTTTACATTAATTTACATATTTATGGAGGTTTGTAAATAAACAGTTGACATAGATGAGGACATGAAGCTAGTGCAAATGTTCATTTGCGTTTTTTTGACATTCGCATCACATGTGGTACATGAGGTAGAACAAAAATGTGTACTCGATGTCCCAGTTACACCTAAAAATGTCATCACTATAAATTAAATAAAAAATAAATGGTATATAAGGATCTAAGATATACACTAAACACTAATAATGCAACATAATATGGTGTATTAAACAGCAGCCTGAACATGAGTCTGTTGTGAACAGAATAAAAGGCAAGAGATCAGCAGCATGGATAATCAGCAGCACAGATAAAGTGACATATCACAAATTAAAGTGGTATTACAGGGATTTTTCTATATTCATCTACCTGTATCTGCACATTTGTTTCGTATCATACAAGCAGAGTGACACAAATGTTGTTGGCCATAAAACAAGCACGCTGACTATAATGCTGCTGTAACGGTGGCACAGGTTAAAATAAGCATCATTTTTTAAGCAATGCTGAGAGTCACACACAGTTGGTGGTTTGCTCCTTTGAAACATTAGTGGGTGAATGTTTCTGACACATAAGCACTTTCATGACTGAATGGACCCACACAGTCAGACTTTTGATCAGCAGAGTGGAAAAATCCCATTACAAATAAATTCATCACCATCACATATGTTCTCACGAGCACAAACTCCCAGAACCAAAATTACATTTTCGTCTCTTGTCTCAAATGTAACTTTATGTAGCGTTGCATGGTGAAAGTGGGATCAGCAGATGGATGGAACAAGCAGTAAAACGAACCTCACTCCACAGAGAAGAGGGATGCAGGAGGAGGAAAGCAGTGATGGGATGGGAGTAAAAATGAAGGCAAGTTTGCAGTGAAGAAGTGGAGGCGAAGGCCAATGCTTCTTCATCATCATGTCTCAGGGTGGCACGCTGCGGTGTGTTGATTATAGATTCAGCTCTCTTGCAAAAAAATCACAGCACTCAGAAAATACCGCACTGTCAGCCTGGTTCAGCAGATATCTTGACCTTCTCAGTATGTGTGTGAATGTGTGTGGGAAGGAAGTTGTTTTTATAAGGGAAACTTTTTAGGGCAATTAATAGCTTTACGAAAACTTCTTCATAGTTTTAGTTTATATTTTAAAGCGTTTAAGATATGAATTTGAAAACTTTCTCTTCATTATTTTTAGCACATGTAATTCAAGTGGAAACAAAAATGTGATCATTTCATTAATTATTGAAAATAGTGTTATGTGTGCTTCTTTGGTATAATTTTGGCAGCAATTCATTATATTTCAAGGAAAAAATCAGCAATGTTTTTGATTTTCACTTTGGAAAAAAAATATTTTAAGCTACATTTACGCACATTACATAATATACATACTTTTTTTTACAGTGGTTGTCACAGTTGAATTATTCCCAACAGGCTTTAGTTATGATTAGAAGTAATAATG